ACCCATCCCTATGTGGGGGGCAGTCCTCTCACCCCTGTTTCTTCCAACTTTTATAGGGGCCTGGCTTGGCCATCCCTGGGGCTCACCCAGAGGCACCCCTATCCCCTCAGTCATTTGCTGCCTTGCCCACCCAGGGCTGCCCAGGACAGCCCCTCCTCAAGTGTCCAGGCCTGGTCCATGCTTCCATCCTATACCCATGACTCTCTCCCATGGGGTGATAGGCTGCTGTCTCCTGCCATCTTCCCTTTGAGCCTCAGGCCCACCATCTGCCACCAGCCTTCACACTCCTCTGCCCACAGCCTGGCCTGAGTAGAGTGTCCCCAGGGAAGGGAGTGTCTTGCTGGTTGGATCCCTGGAGGACTGCTGCCCGTCCCTGGCCTGGCCACTGTTCCCTCGTGCCCATCCTTGTCCAGCCACTTGCCTGACCCTCACCCTCTGCTGGGATGGGGACACTTTACCATCCTCTCACTGGCTACACTGCTGTCCCCTTGTCTGCTCATCAGGTCTGGATGGCCAGCCCTGGTCTCCCTGTCTCTTCCACAGCCTCAGACCCCCACCGGCAGTTAGCAACTCCCCACTCCCGGGCCTATGGCTCCAAAACTGCTCACCCTCATTCTCCAGCAAACCCAGCCTTGATCTTGCATTGCCCACAGCACTTTCCTTTCCTGGGCCTCTTTCTGTGGTCTCTGTCCCTTCATGAGCCAACCCAAAGCTGCCCCCCACCGCCCTTCTCCTGGCCCAACTCAGGTGTTCCTAGCCTGGGCCACCCCCACCTTGTACTTATTTTTTACATTTATCTACCAGTCCTACTTTCTGGATATCTGCCACTCCAGTCAAATTGACTAAATGCTATATTTTCTTGATTTAACTTTCACATCTCTCTCCACTTTTTAATATCTCTGAAATCAAGATAGTTTACCATCAATGCATTTGGATTTGATGAAGTAAGGTGACTGTCCTTTAAACATGTGCTATTTTTTTTCTTCTCAGAGATTTTGCTAAAGCTATTTTTTCTCCTCTTTCACATTAGTTTAAATTCAACCATTTTTTCCAGACCAATTTAAATCCAAAATCTCCTTAAAAACCTTCCTGATCAGCCCTTCCAAAAGTTAATTTACTTTCTTCTGACTTACAATAGTACTAAAACCTAAGTTTACATATCCTGTACTACTTGATATTGTTGTTATATGTGTTCCTGTCTTATTTATATTTCCAGATTATAATAAGCATCCAGAGCACAAAAACTATGTCTCTTACAACTTTGCATGTTCCATAGCAACTAGCATATATTTTCCTCATTTTGATGATCAGTAAATATTACTTGAGTGAATGAATGAATAAAGCAATGACTATACATAATTATGCTTAAAGAATACAACTTATTATGAAAGAATAGGAATGACTCATCTGTAACAATATGAGATGTCCATGGTACATTGTTAAAGAGGAAAAAAACCAAGTTGCAGAAAAGCCTGTACAGAATTACTTTATTTTTGCTAAATCTACAGCAACAAATTTCTCCCTAACATAGACAATGTGAATGTTTCTATATACCTAGAAAGCCATTTGGAAGAACACAGGCCTAATGGTTAACATCAATTATCTTTGGAAAGTGGGATTGAGGTGATGAAATTTTGAAAGTTCACAGTAGATTTTCCCTTTTTACTTGTTTTCACACACACACACACACACACACACAGAGAGTTATTTGGCTTTGGATTTTTTTTTTTAAATCAACAAAGTACATAAATTAGTTTTGCAATGAAAATTAAGGAAAAATGACATAAGGGAAGGGGTGGCTGTCCTTCAGGTGTATGTAGCTTTAGGGGGAAGGGGAAAGAGAAAGCCCAAAATTTACCACATGGAAGAATGTGAGTTATGAAGTACTACAACCAAGAGAAAAGATTAATTCAGAAAACTATAGAGGACAATAAATAGTTTTTGAACCCAAATATAACAGAATTCTGGGGGCTTATACACCGGCTGATCAAAAAACTCACTATCACACAAGACAACGTGGCAAGCTCAGGGCAGTGGGCCAGAGTGGGAAAGTTAGTTATCTCAATAAAAATGCCTCTTTCTTATGTTAAACTGTAGCAAGATTTCTATTGAAGAGACACCTCTCAAATGCATTTTTCTTATAAGGCTGGCCTCATCAGAGGCATACTGTTGGGAGAGAAAATTGTCCATTTCCATGTAATCCAGTGACACCACTGATGTGATCTAAACACACTGGATGAGTGAGGTATTTGTCTCTTAACCATCAGTAACAACTTTTTTCTTTTTTTTTTTTTTTTACTGTTAATCATGTACTAAGCACTATGCTGAGTGTTCCACAGGTTTTATTTTATTCCTGCCTCCCAACAACCTTATGATATAGCTCTTGCCCCTTCACAGATGGGGAAACTGAGGCTCAGATAAGTTAAGCCTGTACAGCAGTCAGAATTTGAACTCAGGAATCCTGTTAACTGATGCCAAATCCCTTACTCTTTGCCTATCCACAAATGTGTCTGTCACATGATCATACTGTTACGTTAAATAAGCAGGAGGCCATTAGCCTGAGGTTGTCTCCATACCTTGAGTTCCTACATAATAAATTGCAACCTAACTTACTACATAAACAAACTGAAACCTACCTTAGGGCTATAACAAACAGCCAGGTTTCAGCCAATCGTCACACCATGCCCAAATAAGGCCTACCAGTAGCAAATCAAGTGATTTCTCTACTTTTCTACTGTGACTGGCTTATAGGCTTATAAAAGCTCACACTGCTGGGCAGAGCTCTCTGAACCACTTCTAGTTCTGAAAGCTACCACACTGATAAATTGCTCTTTACTCAAATAAACTCTGCTAAATTTGTCCAAAGTTTTTCTTTTAACACCTATTATCTAGACATCCCATGCATTCTTGCCCCACTGTTGTGTAAAGGTTTGTCCTAATTGTGTGTATTCATATTTAACATTACACAAGAATCACCATCACACTACATCTCAGGTCAGTTTTTCCATCCTCTCAGCTTATCGTATTAGAACTATAAAGAATATTCTGCTGGAAGGCAGATGTTCCCAAATATGTCTATTTTACTAACTTGCTGTAGCTCCAACACATTTTACTCCACCTATTTTCTTTTCTGAACAGTGCATATTTTCAGCTTTTTTCAGTGTACAGAGAGAGATGTATGTTAGCCATTCCGTAAAGTAGTACAGGTTCACAATCCCTTATCCACCAATTTTCATGTCCAAAGAGATTTGGTAAATGAAAGACTTTTGATAACTCATTTGGCATCAAAGCCTGACCAGACCTGAACTCATTTGGCAGCAAAACCTGCCCTGAACTGACTTCAGGCTGTTTTTAATCTCCACTGATCACAATCATTGTGAATTTTCACTCATTTCATGGCAGCAACATCAATTTGTTTCATTACAGGGCACTGCCCCATACCCCACTGGGTGTCTGAAATATGATATCGTATATTTACCTTATTAATACTCCAAGATCCAAAAAGTCCTAAATTACAAAACACTCTGGACCACAAGAGTTTCAAATAAATGATTTCAGATGTACATTTTTTTTCCCTCCTCTTTTTTTTTTTTTTTTTTTAGAGTTAATAAGTGTTTTCCAAGTCTTTGATTTGGTGGACGTCTATGGCCATTTTATACAAACACTTTGTGACTTTAGAAAATTCAAAAATTGATCACAACCAGTTACAGATTTCTTTGTTCCTTCTCCACTCCCGCTGCTTCACTTGACTCACAAAAACAAACAAACAAAACAACAACAAAGGAAAATTCAAATGTTATAGTGGAAGTACAACACTTTTTAAAACTTTATTCTTGTATAGAAGTCATTATACAGTGCCTCCCTTGCCAATTACATCATTGTTCATTGATTGTGAGGCACTAAAACATTTTCCCCCAAAAGATTAACCTTTTTAGTTTTTTCCCCCATCAGACAGTGGCTAAATGTGGGAGATTTCTTTTCAGGCCATTGCTTGTTTATTTGACAGACTTTTTTGGAATATGTAAAGTAGCTTATAACCCCATGTCAGATCAGATTAACCATAATGTGATTAAAATTACCATGATCCAGCTGAGTCTTAAATTTCTGAGTGATCTGGGTTTTCTCAATCTGAATTTTATGGGTGTATTTACACAGACTCAGAGGGTTCATTTCCCCATTCATTGTCACATGATTTTCTGGTGTTCTGGCATGCTCCCAGAACCTTAGATGCCAAACCATAGCATCTGAACATGCATTAAATCTGGCACTTCAGAAATTTAGAAACTGCCACATAATTATTATTCATTACATGAAATTTTCCATGATAGGTGTATGAGTCATGAAGCTTAATTCTGAGAGCCAAGGAAATTTTCCCAAATGACGGGAAAGCAAAGGCACCTGACTTAAGACACTCCTTTTCTGTGGCAAATCAGTTGCTATGACAGTAGATTCACTCAGAGAACATGTACCTAAGTGCTTAAAATAGCAAAAGAGTACTTTTCCCTTATGAATCAGATTCTACAAGGAATCACTAAGCTTTCAGTATTTATATAATCTCTGTTTCCACAATCAACTAGAGTTACATAGTAGTGCTGAAAACAATCTATTGCTTAGGGCTTTTAAGTTTTAGCAGAGAAAAAGAAAGGAAATTCCTGTTTAGCATACATGGGTATATGTGCCTATTATCTTAAGAGCCTTTCACTCAGTTCAAGTTGAAATAATTTTGAAGTCCACACTGTAAAAGCATTAATTAATCTTTATAACATCTATGTGGCACAAATTAATGCAGTTATGCTCACTTTACAGGGGACTGATTAAAGATGTCATGTATATGTCTACCTTGAAGTACATTTTTTATTCAGAAATAAAACTGAAGACCTCAGATTCTTAGCTCCCTGAGTAATTACTATGTAATACGAATGCTTTTTTCTATGTACCAAGCTATTCTGGATGATTCTCAAGGTCTCCCCTTTGTCTTTACAGAATGTTTGTTGGGGGAGCAATCGGGTTGAGGACCTGAAGAATGCATCAGGAGGGCAAGGGCTCCCTCAGAAAAAGGCAGAGGGGGACGTGCCAGCAGGGCTCCCTGGAGGCCATCCACAGCCCCTGAGTTGCCATCCTCCTTGGTGAACGACCACACAACCAGTTCCTTTAGCTGCCTTTTCCTGACCAGTCCAGGCTGCTCGAACTCCTGAATCCCTCTGCAGAGTTTCCTTCATCAGCCATTCCTGTGCACAGACCTCACCCTGCTGTCAAGAGCAATAAATGGCCTGTCTGACTTGATGTGCGTGGGGCTTCACCAAATGGGAACTGAAAACCAGAGAATTTCATCTCCATAAGGTACCACAGCTGTTTCAGAAAGCAGAAGTGCCAGATTCACCCTTTAGTGATGGTCCTCAAAGGGTAATTGGAGAACGCAGAGAAAAACCCTTAAAACCTAAAATAATACACTGTAGTTCTGAAAAGAGAAGACATTCTAGACTTTTCTGCTTCATGTCTGTCTTTAAACAGCTATACTCATATACCTTGTTTATGTGCTAAATACATATTATAATAAATGGGAACTTCATTCAAGTTCTCTCATCTTATAAAACTTACTTATTATTCTTCTTCCACTTAACTTTTCTCTCTCTCTCTCTCTTTTTTAGTAAATATATCCAAGGATGCAGGAAGTCCTTTAGCACTTCTTATCCACCAAGCCAGCAAGGGGCTTACTAAGCCTAAGGAGAAGCCATTGAACATTACAGGCTTGGCCCTGCCCTCAGGAAGCTTCTGTTCTGGAGAACTGAGGTAGCCTAAGAAACAAAGCCTTTATAAACAAGTCACTTGTGTAATGATGCTTTGAAGGTTTGCATTTGTTGGCAAACAATAAGGATATGTGGGTCCACATTGTGTATTCAAGATCAAGTATCAAAATGAAATTCTATAACAGGCTTTGGCACAACTCCAAGTTTGAATTATGGAGGATAAATGTTCTCAGCTTTATACTGGAGTTTTTTGGAAGAAAAATATTATAAAAGATGACTCTATGGCAGTATCTAGAATACTAAAACCACTGAAAAACTACATTTAAAATTTTGTAATAAAAAAAGTCATTTTTGTCTGTATTCTTTGAATGGAATTTAGCCAAAGATGTGTTAAATAATTAGTCCTTTAAGTCTAATTTATTGCACCAGTTGCTCATGCTCATTTGTGCAGCAATTATGTAAGGGTTGCAAGTAGGGATTGCATTTTGTCTCACTTACAGGGGCTAATTTTTATTGGTCATCCTCAATCCTTGCCCCTACTTCCTGGGAGTCAATGCTACAGATCTTGTCACTTCTAGGTCAACCTACCCGTCCACTGTCTTTGAGGAGATGTCATAGCCTCTTCCTGTGAGCCTCTGCTTGATCAACTTCACTATCAGGAAGTAATTTCTTTCTAAGTTTCTTTTGAAGATCTAGGCCCATTTTTTATTCTCTGCTCAGAAGTTACTAATATACACCCTTATGGCTCCAGCACATCTAACTGCTTTGTCTCAAGCCAGCCTATACCCTGCCAAGGAACGATTCCCTAATTTAGGAAATCAGATCCACTAAATAAACTATCTGGCTCTGCTTTTAATGCTCCTGTGGGCACAGGGTAAATGCTTTTGCAAATATTGTTGTTGAGAAATTGTGTTTGGGACCTGGACTGAGAAATAGGTATCAAGATCTACGGCTGTAGCCCAGCGCCTCCAGACCAAGATAAGCAAGGTCAAAAGGCTCCACATCTAATCAAGAGTCCGCCAGTCTTCCAGTTCCTAAATGAGATTGAGAGAGATAACCAGATTTGGGGAACTGCCTGGACACTTCTCTTTAATAAACACATCAGCCACTTTTCAGTATTTATAACAGATATAAATCTAAACAAATCTCAAGCTAGCAAGGGAAATATTACCTTGAGTTCTCTGGAAAGTGCTCAAGCTGTGGAGTTACTGGGAGATGCTGGACCAGAGGCAGAGAGCCATCCAAGGCCAGGGAGCAGGCCAGGCCAGCAGAGCCACCTGCCCATGCAGGCAGTAAGCAGACTCTCAGGGGACAGCATAGAGCTGGACCCCTTCTGCATAACCTCTTCAGAAGACAGTGGCCGACAAATTTGCACACACAGCTCATGCCAGTGGAGCCTCAGAACCCAGGGAAGCTGATGGTGGAATTCTCAGCCTGAGAACCTGGGGGGCCACTGGTGTTAAATCCTGGAGTCCAAAGGCCAAGGAGCCTGGAGTTTTGTTGTCCAAGAACAGGAAAGAAGGAGTGTATCACAGCGCCAAAGGACAGATAGACACAGTCACCTTTTCTCCATTTTTGTTCTCTCTGGCCCCAGCGGATTGGATGGTGCCCACCACATTGAGGGCAGATGTTCTCACCCTGTTCACTTAGACTTACACACCAATCTCCTCTGCAAACACCCTCACACACACATACAAAAATAATGCTTTAACGAGTTTCTAGGTATTCTTTAATCCAGTCCAGTTGACATCTAAAGTTAACCAACACAAAGCTACTTCATTTCTCCAAACTTTAGTTTCTTTATTGGTAAAAAAAAGATAATATGTAAAATTCCTCGTACATATTCAATAATGACAATTATTAATATTTGTCAATGCCAAGAATTATAATTCTCATTGCCCTGGGAGATTTTCTTCTAATTTACCTTAGTGATTTTTAGGGGGGAAAAGTGCTCCTGTCTGAAAGAGAAGGTATATTATATTCCTTTTTACTAAGGCAAAGTTAGAAGCCCAAAGTTTCAACACATAAACTAACCATCTGTAGATAGAACAAGAAATTCCTCCTCAGGATATGAACCTTGGTACCCTGGAATGCTTTTCTGCTCTCTCTCTCTTTTTTAAGAAATAAAAAAAGGTTAACCCAAAATTTCATATGGGAAAAATGCTTTTTCACGCTCAATACCAAAATGTGATACAGCTATTCAACAGTATGGTTGGCTTCACTGAAGTAATTTTGTTCCTTCTCTGAGTTATCTATTATTGAAGATAGTCAAGCAATGGATATTGAAATAGATTATTTTTCTATTCCATTGTGTTCCCTGCATCCTTTCCCACAAAGTGATGTATTCTTTAGTGAGAGAGAGAGAGAGAGCAACATAGAGAAAGAGGGATTATAATCACAGGAATGCAATTTACAAGTAAAAATTTCAATTTCTCTTTTAATTGAGATTATAATTATATCGAGACTTGAGTCTAACTTGACTTGATTTTGTAATCAATAATTATTTTACATTATAAAACATTTCCTATCTCGAACATTCATCACTGACATCTGATACCTAGCAAGTTCTTTCAGATATGTAGGTTTCATCTCACTAAGTTTTCTGGTATTCAGTAATTAAGATATGAGGCAGTTGTTTGTCCTTTTAGATAAAAAAAAAAGTGTTCCTAAAAAATTAGTGTAAACTAAATCATGCTTTAAATGCATTAGAGCAGTAGTTTCCACACACTGTTATGCAACAGAACTACCTGGAACTTTATACACATACATACACTCTCTTCTGAGCCCTACTCCAATATTTATGAATTTAAATAGAACTCAAAAGTGGAACTCCAAAATTTTTACATAAAAAGTTTTATATAAAAATCTCCTGAGACACCAAGATCTTGGTTTCTAAATCCATTCCCCACTAAAAGAAACCAGGGATCCTTGGTGAAATGGCTGATTCTAGAACTGAGGTAGGGAAAATATAAGATCAGCTTAGAACATGTTGGGCAAGAAAGTAAAAATTGGCTCAACAAATTATGGGAATCATGTTAAAGGACACAGAAGCCTGCTTGAAGGGACTCTTGCCGGCCACATCTAGGAAAGTTTGAACATGAAAATAAAATTTAAATAATAATAGATTAGACCCATTGAATAAGAATCAAAAAATCTATATCAATAAGAAAGAAGGAAGGAAGGAGGAGAGGGAAGGAGGAAAATGCTGCTAATAATGCCAACTAATAAAAGTAGAAGGAATGATGGAATTAGACAATCACCAGTTGGGCAAGAATTATCAATAAGTGCTAAAACTTAAAGCTAATGGGTGAGAATTTGATGAATAATAGAATATTTACATCGTCTCAGAGTATCGCCCCATAAATTACTTCTCACTTCCAAACACAAAACAGTATCTTTACAGTGAAAAGGCCTGGCAGGCACCACCTTTACTGGCTTGAATGGTAGCCCCCCAAAGATACATCCATGTCTTAACCCCAAGACCTGTGAATGTGATCTTATTTGGAAAAGGTTTCTTTACAGATGTAATTAAACTAAGGATTGTGAGATGAGATCATTCTGAATTACTCAGGTGGACCCTAAATCCAATGGCAAGTGTCCTTATAAGAAACAGAAGAGAAGACCTGGGCAAAAAGAAGGTGGGGACAGCCATGTGAAGATGGAGGCAGTGACTGGAGGGATACGGCCACAAGGAATGCTGACAGCCACCAGAAGCAGGAGGACCCAAGGCTAGATCCTCCAGAGGGAGCATGGCCTGGCGACACCTTGTTTGCAGACTCTGGCCTCCAGACTGTGAGAGGAAAGGTATCCATTGTTTTTAGCCACCCAGTCTGTGGTAATTTGTTACGACAGCCCTAGGAAACTAATACACCAGCCTAACCAAATCGTCAGTGTTAACATCATCAATAAAGGAACTAACCTTCATCAAGTGGCTCCTGAGGAGATGCACTGAGAAGTTTACAGCATCACTCACTAATGTTCATGATAAAATTGCATAACCTGGATCTAATCATGAGGAAATATCAGACATATTCAAACTGAGAGCCATTCCACAAAATAATTAGCCTGTACTCTTGAAAAATATTGAGGTTGTAAAAAAAACAGCGAAAGGCCGAGGAACTTTTCTAGATTAAAGGAGACTAAAGAGACATGACAACAAAATATAGTGCATGTCCTTCACTGGATTCTGGACTGTGAAAAAAATAGTCACAGAGAACATTTGGGGGATAATTGGAAAAACTTGAATATGGACCGTGGACTTAAAAAAATTTTAGTAAGATTATTATACGTAATCAGGTATGAAAACCACTGAATTAGAATTTCCTCATGAGGCAGTGGTTCTCAGAAGAGGGTGACTTTGCCTCCCAGAGGACATCTGGAATTGTCTGAAACATTTTTTGATTGTCATGACTGTACAGGGTGAGGGGAGTGGGGTCTGGGGAGGTGTTACTGGCATCTAATGTGTAGAGACTGGGGCCATTGCTAAACATCATAAAATGCACAAGACAGCTCCCCACAGCAAGTAATTATCTAGCCAATAGTGCCACTGTTAAGAAACCTTGCTTTAAGGAAATTATACACCCTCGCTAATATAATCAGATTCTAAATACTCACGGGAAATAACACCAAATTTGTATAGGTTTAGAATACTACAGCAAAATTTTATCTCAACAAAAGTTTCCAATTTTACAAGTGAAAATACATTTGCATTTCAAGACTTAGGAATCCCATACATAAATGTATACAATCTCATCACAACATGAACGGACAAGAGCAGTGGAGGAATAGAGAAGCACAGATCAGCTCATTCATTGTAACAGCAACCCAGTGGCTTTCATAATATTGGACAATAAGTCCACTGAAAATGTGATTTCAAGGCATTAGAATAGCTCTGTGAAAAAGATAAATAGACTTTTCTCAAACTTATGACTGTACTCATAAAGCAGTATAAATATATTACATTTATAGGTTATCTGGGGTAATCCATATCACTTCTCTCTAAATCTGATGAGATTTCCAGTTCCTATATTTTTAGCATAGGGGAGCTACACAAATATCACAAAAACTAATGAGTGATGAATCTCACAGTATTAGTCAGGTTTTTGCATAACAAACAATCCCAAATCTCAATGACTCTCAACAGCACACATTCATTTCTCACTCATGGGTCTGTGCACCAGCTGGGTTGACTCTGCTTCAAGTTCAGGGCTGCTCTGCAGGCCTCTCATTCTGGGACCAATGGTTACCAGAACACATGGCTGCTAACTCATGGCAGATCACAGAAGCTCAGGAACCTAGGCCAAACTCCTCAAGCACATTTAAAGCCTCGCTCACATCTTCACATCTGCTAATATTCCACT